ATCTACTGAGGTATAATTTACATGCAATAATAGTGCATCCATTTTAGGAGTACCGTTTAATGAGTTTTCAAGATATTTGAACATTTACATGACTTTTAATATCTGGTATGTTTCCTAGTGTAGCTAACAGTACCAGTCAGCGGCCTGGCAAGAAATAGATGGCCAGTTACACTGGATAATTTGAGAAGAGGGATTATTTACCAAGGCGTGGGCGTGGTGTAGGGAAGGCACAAGATGGTTCCGTGTAGCAAGGCCAGACAGCTGTTCCCACTCCGTTTGCGCGGCAGAAAGGAGGAAGTAGCCACCAGAACCCAGGAAAAGGCTCTGGTGTGAGGGAGACGGTGTGAAGGGTGCACCCTCACAGGAACTATGACTTTCAGTTGAGAGGCATAGCCCGCCAAAACATGCCATAGGACCCCTATTGATTAACCTGATGAATAACATAACCCTAGTGTCTTGATATGACACACCTATATTATCTCAGCCAGGAGCTTGGGCGTGGCTGTGTCTTCTGCTAGGATCTCACCAGGCTGCAGTCAATGTGTTGGCCAGGACTAATCTCGTTTGGAGGCTCCACTGGGAGAAGGATCCACTCCCCTGCTTGCATGGTTGTTGGCAGCTTTCCATTCCTTGCAGTTGTGGTACCGAGAACTTGAGATTTTTTGCTGACTCTTGGAAGGAGGATGCCCTCAGCTTCTGGAGCCCATTCACAGTTCCCTGCCACGTGAGGTGTGGCCTCAAACACTTTTTTTTTTTAACCAGAATAATCAATCTGGGAAGTCAAAAAGGTGCAAAGGGGAAGAATAAGTACCAAGGGGTCCCAGAAATAGCAGATCCCAGAAAAACATCAGCAAGTGTTCATCTGTAGAAGGTGAGGGCCCATTCTGAGTTGGAAGCCCCATGAGTGGATCCCAGAACAAATAGAGAAGGGCAAAGGCAAGAGCGTTGGAGAGGGTGGCAGGGGGAGGTGGAAAGGTCAAAAAATTACATGGGCTCAGTGGTGGCAGATTTAAGAGAGGGAATCCCTTTAGAAAGCAGAGGCAGTATTTCTTGGTAGCAGCTGCTGGTGAGCAAGGAAAGGAAGGACGTGAAAGGGGTAAGAGACTGCCAGAAACAGAATGAGATTCTAGAGTTGATAGGGAAAAATAAGAGTAGCTGGAATATTGTGAGAGAAAAAAAGAGCCATGGGAGGTGCCTTATTCTATCATAAAACTTCAGTGACTAAAATAATGTGCTATCAAGGCCTGAGTGGATAGCATGCCTGTGAAACTAAACAGGAAATCCAGATATAGACTGTAATGTATATGGAAACTTAGCTTATAAGTAGGTTCTCAGATTAGTGGCAATAATGGGGTGTTTTTTGTTAATAATGGGTTTTTAAAATATGGTGTTGGGGAAATTGAATAGACAGTGAAAAAAAATAATGAAGTTGGACAATACTTACTCCCTACACCAGGTTAAACATCAAATGAGTCAAATATTGAAATGTAAAAAATGAAACCGTATAAAATATACATGTATTAAGGGGGAAAGGTAACATTTTTATAGCATGAAGAAAATTCTTTCAACAACAAAAAAATCAGTCCACTTTTTCAAATGTCTGAAAAATTAAACTATATGAAAGTCAAAAACTTTAGCATGGCAAAAAAAAAAAAAGCCTTGTAATTAAAGTCAAATGATAAATGGCAAACTGGTGTCAAAATACAAGACCTGGGAATTCTCTGGCAGTCTGGTGGTTAGTACATACCTGTGCCACGGTAGTCAGGTGATTAGCATTGCTCGAAGCAAATAGGGAAGTGTGATGGTGATGTCTGTGCAGAAAGTGTTTACTGGCCTGAGACCACTGATGATTAGCTGACTTGCAAAGCATGAGGCTGTCACTGATTGGTTGGTTTTCAGATATGTATTCAATGAACCAAATTGTCATTGATTGATTAGACAGGTTTATAACCGGTTCTGGTGGTTACTTATTACCATGACTGTCAAACAATCAATCTTTTCCTACCTGTGTGGGGGGACTCATTTCTATAGAGAAATTTTGTGTAACTAATTACTAAGAAAAGGTCAATCTTCCTAATTACATTAAGAGCCCATAGGAATGGAGAAGAAAGTCTAACAATCAATAGAAAAATAAGCAAAAAATACAAACAGAAAATAAATACAAATGGCCTTGGAACACTGAAGGAAAAAGCCCCTCCCTCTTGCCTCCTTGCAGCCGAGAAAGCAACATAGGTCACCAGCAGCTCTACTGGAGCCATCCGAGAAAATTCCGCCAGGGTTCTCGCTCTTGCCGGTTCTGCTCAAACCGGCACCATCTGATCCGGAAATACGGCCTCAATATGTGCTGCCAGTGTTTCCGCCAGTATGCGAAGGACATTGGCTTCATTAAGTTGGACTAACTGAACTTCCTTAAATGGATCATCCAGCACATCTACCTTAACAATACTAGCTCTTTGTATATAAAATACAAGTTTTAAAAACTTAAAAAAAAAAAAAAACAACAACCCTCAATCTCACTTGAAATAAATGTTTCCTGTAGCGAGTGCTGTCAAGACCCTGGAGAAAAACACAACCACATTCCGTAAAATTAAACTGTCAAAATAACTTTTGACATTTAGAGACAGTTTAATGCATAAGCCACTAAATTTAATTTTTTTAAATATATTTTTTAAATGTTATTAAGTATAGCTGATTTATAATGTGGTGTTAGATTCAGGCATACAGAACAGTTATATATTTTTAATATATATAATATATATATATATACTTGTTCAAGGTCTTTTCCCATATAGTGTATTATAAAATATTGAGTGGAGTTCCCTGTGCTATATAGTAGGTCCTTGTTGCTTGTCTGTTTTATATATAGTAGTGTGTATGTGTTAACCCCAGCCTCTAATTTATCCTTCTGCCCAAGAAGCCACTAAATTTGGAATAAACGTTTCAGTACAAAATACGTAATGCATGAATTATTTTTTTAAGCCAAAGGAGACATGATTGTGTTTCAGCTCCCATGGTAGCTTTTGCTATTATGCAAAATTAAAATGACCACTTGTTCTCAACCAGAGACCTGAGTCTTAGGTAATTAGACCTCTTCTCTACTTTTTGGTGTGTGACCTACTATCAGCACCAAAAAAAAAAAAAAAGAGAGAGAGAAACTTCTAAAAATAAACTAGTTATATTCATGTTATTTTTAGCTTTATACAAGTAAAAGCTTTAAATGTAAGTTTTCTAAGCATTTTCAAATAGATTCAAGTACATTTTTTGTTTACAATGTGCTTTTCCAAGCAGAATTGTTTTTGAGATCTTGAGATTTTTGAACAGTTTTCAAGTCAGTGAACTTAGAATGCAGTTGCATAAATTATAGCACATCAAGCTCTTTGGAAGTAGATTCTCTCACATTAAAAGCAAATTGATTTATTATTATTTTAGTGCCTCTTGCTAATATTATTACATAATTCTTGTCATCTAATTTTTTTTTTTTTTTGCAGTCTAGAATTACTCTGGAGAGTTACTTCATTATGATCTATTTCAATTACTAAAATGCCCTCCTTTAAATCTTATCCTGGTGTTCTATTATTTCTAGTATATCCTCCTAAGAGCTATAGAAATTTAGTGATATGTCTGATGGCCTTAATTTTCTGTAGAGGAAATTTCAGAGAGGGGTTCTTGGTATTCCTGTGGGTGAAGAATCAGAAAGCTTGTAGGGACTCAGGACAGTGGTGACTTCAGGTGATTGTTGGTCTGTGTATAACAGGTGGCATTGAGAAACCTTACTCTCTAATCATCAGTTCTGGTTGAGATGGGGACACTCAAGTATAATCAGAGCAATAGGTACTGAACAACCGGCAGGGCTTTCTACAGGTGCTTGGGAAGTTTCTCCAGTTTACCTCCATACATTCTTAATGAGGTTCTACCTCTCCTGGGCATTTGTGTTTGAGCATCATTTCCCATACGTATTACTCCATCTTGTCAGGATAGCCTTCCAATTTCTTGCCTTAGAGATTTCAAGACGTTTTTGTCCCAGAACCCATTAAAGGAACTCTGTTGTGCTTGTTTTCCCTCCTCTTATTGCTTATCTCCTGCCTGTTTTCTGAAGTCTGTCATTCCAACCTCTCCTGGGATATAAAAAACACCATTTCCAGGGACTTCCCTGGCAGTCCAGTGGGTGAGGTTTCAAGCGATCCCACATGCTGCCAGGCTGAAGAAACAAAGGACAAACCCCCCCAACCCCACTTTTCCAGACTCCTTCACCACAAGCTTCCTGTTAAGTTCTATTAAGAGGTAACTAGGAGGAAAGGGGAAAGGGGACATTTCTTTGCGGCTCCTCTCAGTGTTGGCAGTTGATCCCAGCTTCCAAATGCCTTCAACTCCTCTAGAACCCTTTCAGAGCCCCAGCAGTAGCTGGGAGGTGTTTCTCAAAAATCTGAACACCACATCTGCAGGATTCACTTTCCCGCACATCCTGAGCACCTACATTCTAGTAACCAGAATCCTTCCCATGTGTTTCCCAGCTTTGAGGGTGGTAGTCACTTCACAGTGATCATTTTTGGGTTATCTGTGTTCCCTTTTGTTCCAACACCTGTCTAACCATTTTTCTATACTGCATACGCTGTTCAAATACCTATTAGTTTTCTTCTTCAGTGAATTGTGATTCATAAACCCAGTATAACCTATATCTCTGTCTAGTATAAACTAACCAGAAAGTGGGATTCTAATCCTGCAGTAAAAAAGACACCCAAACCTTTTATGGGTTTTAAGAGATGAAGAGGAATGATACAGTGGATAAACTCAATTTATGATCCCTAACTGAGTGAAAACCTGGACTGAACTAGTATCACTGACAGAGCCTAAATGCAGCAGCCTGGGACCACAAAAGCCAAGTTGAAGAGAAATGTAAAGTAAGAGAAGGAAGGGTCCTCTCAGTTGAGTTCAGGGTCCATGTTGGTCCAAGTCCTGCCACAAGGCAACTTACATTGAAGGGTTAAAAAAAAAAGACAAAATTTAAAGTAATGATTATTTATTAAGATTTTTACACAGGAATCAAGATATGGGTAAACATACAGTAGACGCTCACCTCCCAGTTGCAGTTTGTTTTACACACCTTTATGCATACCAAATGTATAGAACTTGTAGAGGAATTTGAAGAAGCCACAAGATATTTGAGGAATAGTTTCCTCTGAGGCTGAAGTCACTTGTGATCTGGGAACTGTAACACAGGGAAACTCACGGTCAGGGATCTCTTGTGACACAGAGCTAAAAATATATCCAGTAGGGGAGAGGTGCGTAGTGCTCACTAGACAGAAGGCAACTGCACTTTATGGGATGATATACACGGGCACTTACGGTACACGGAGTCACTGGATGTGACCCTCCCAAAAGTGGGATCAGATGGGGTAGTGAGACTGGAGGAAAGCCAGGAGAGACACTATCATTTAAGGTTCTTTGTTGAGTCAGGGCCTGTGCCAGTTGCTCTATTACTTCCCTTAACTCTCCATAGCAACTCTTGGTTACACTGATTCCTGTTTACAAATTAAGAGAGATTAAGTAGCTCACCTAAGGTCATACAGGTAGAGACCAAGTTAAGGAGGGCATTATTTTCTTTCCTCCTGCACATGTCCCTTGGTGGTCCAAAACTGATGCACAAATTACTACTCCCACAGATCTGTTCCTTATATGTGAACTAAGGAACCTAAGAGCTACTTAGTTTAAATATTTATTTTTCTTTATGTGGCTAGGCAAGGTCTTGGTTATAGCACACGGGTTCTTGGAACTTTGTTTCCGCATGTGAGATCTTTCAGTTGTGGTATGTGAACTCTTAGTTGCAGCATGCAGGCTCTAGTCCCGACCAGGGATCAAACCCAGGTGCCCTGCATTGGGAACATGGAGTCTTAGCCTCTGAACCACTAGATAAGTCCCTCTAAGAGTCTGTTTAAAGCCATTCGCATGTTCTACAAGTATCGCAGAGTGCAGATTTGGCTTCTGGGATTTAGTTTGCAGACTTCTGTGCTGGGGGGCTTTCAGCTGAGGCTTCTGGTGTGTTCAACAAGCTTCCTTCCCCTGGTAGGTCCTGAATTCTGTTCTTATCTCATCTGCAGTGTGAGCCTGATGACAACTCCTCTCTGCTTTTCAGAGGTTTTCAGCCTTTTAGCCTCCGCTCTACAGTTTCAAAACTGTAGTTATCTTGATGAGAAGGTGGAACTTGTGTCTTATGACCTGCAAGTCTCTAAACACTCCAGCTTCGTGAGCTGGCCTAGAGCTCTGCCAGTAGAGCAGACCTGTTCACCAGCCAAAGTCCTCATTCTCACTCTGCGTTCAGAATAGGCACGTTGCAGTGGAAGAGGGGCTGCAAACATCAGTTCACCTCTCACACCTCCCCTCCCGAGAATCTCAGCCCCTAAATTAGTCCTCATTGTTTCAGTAGCTTTCTGATGTTTTTAAGTAGAAAATTTTATACTTTTATCTGGCTCTTCTCATTGTCTTCAGCAGGACTGCAGGTCTACAGCACTGCTACCTGAAAAGCATAAGCTTTGCTTGTCAGATAATTTAAAAATAGTACACTAAAGCTAAACATATTCATTCACAATGCTATTTGCAAAAACTCACTTTTTTTTCACAATGAAAAATCTTCCTAAATTATGATTCTTAGAATTTAAAGGCAAAAAGGACTGTCTAGAGTGGTATAGGCTTAGATGCATACATATCCTTAATCTTATAATATTTTAGGAACATTTAAGTTTTGATTAGATGATACAGTCAACATGATTGAAAATTCAAAAAGTATAAAAACATAAACTCATTCTTCTACTTCTGTCTCCCAGGAACCGTTTCTCTCCCTGCTGGCAATACTGTTTTTCTCTCTCTTACGTAGATATATATTTCTCTTCTTTGGATAAATTGCACACTATTCTACACTTGTATTTTTTTGTTTATATCTTATAGTGCTTTTCGTATCAGTAAAGTGGGTTTTTTTGTTTAACTGCTGTACAGTATTCCATTTTACCATCATTTATTGTCTCGATATGCTTAAGGTTGTTTCTAACTTGTTATTACAAACAATACCCTACAAAAATCTTTTGTGCATGCTATTCTACATATATGTAAAAACAGTAAGAAATCACTAGAGGCAAATTGCCAAGGTTACCTCCCCAGGGCTTTAAAACTTATTCAAGAGCCATTTATATTTCCTTTCCTGGGAACTGTTTCTTGGGAACATCAACTTTTCTAATTTTTCTTTTGAGGTGTTAGTCTTTTTCTTAATGTATTGGCAGACACTTTAGCTTTTCATGGTGAACTGTATCTACTTTTTCCCTAGTCTTCCATGTCTTCCAATTTTCCTTTATGGTAATTTTTACACAGAACTTATTTTCATGTTTTAATCTTTAACTGTGATAAAACATATAGTCTATTTTAATTTTTAACAATTAATTTTCAGATTCTCAGCCTCTGCACAGTTCTAGCACTCCTTGAGAAATTAAACACTCTCATATCCCTTCCATAAAAATGGAAGGAAAAGTATCAACACATTCTAACGACACAAAATATTTATTAGTTTCTCACAAAGATGCATACATGGTAGGAGTATCAGAAAGACTAAGAAGTTAAAATTTGTGTTAAAGCCAATTTTAGTCAGGAAGACTTTTCACAGACAAATAAGTGGTTGTATGTGTAAATCCTAAATACATTATACAATTTTTCTCCCTTTTCGGTCATGGACTATTCTAGGAAGATTTAACTGCGTAACTTTTATTTGAGGAATCCCTTGTAAAGCAAAATTGGTCTTAAAAAAATATTGGTTTGATGAAAATATTTTAGTTTACTTTAGACAAATTTGGTTAGTTTCTAAGTACACTTCATTTCAGCACAATCATTACTCAGGAGACAATCATTTTTGAGAAAGGGCAAACTAATTATGGGATTCTACCCATAATTAATCAATATTGAAGGAGATGCCATCATTATGCAGATTACAGAATTCTGGTTACAAAATTTGGAGGAAAAAAAAAATGTCCAAAAGCACTGATAAATTTAAGCTACAATTATTAACTCTAGGACATTTTATTATGTTATTACCTTAATAGGATGGTTAACTAGACATCCATCAGAAATGCTGTTAAATCTGTTATTTGCTCAAAGCTGTTCATACTACTGAAACTACTGAAACAAAAGATATCTAAATTATATTTCATAAAATGAAATTGCTTCCTTCCTATTTAACTTTCGGGGGTAAGACAGGGCAAAACCCAAGTATCATACTTTCTATTTTTGTCCATAAACACAAAATAAGTCAGTTTGATAACCTAAGGAAATAAACACATGGTTAGTCAGGTTCTACGATATAGGATACTGTGACATAACTTTCCATTTTTTCCTCTGGAATAGTCGATTAGATAGTATGGTGTGTAAAACTATAAAGTCTGAATGTTTCTTGTGTCATTCAGCAAAGAAAGGACGAGGAAGAACACTCTGTCAGACTACACCTGCTATTCCATTCTAGATTCAGCCATCTGATCATCCCTCACTGTCCATCTACCCACCTCAGCCTCATCCCAAGACAAGCTCCTTTGCATCGAGTCTGGTTTCCTTTGTCAACTAAGTCCCAATTTTCCAGAAAACCCTGATTTTTCTGATTTCACACTGACCCCAACCCATTTTAAGTCAAAGAAAATACTGTAATACTTAAAGTAATTAAAGCAGAGATGGATATTAGTGTTATGGAAGACCTATGTCAAATGCTCTGCAAATATATGGGAAAGCTGCAAGAAAACAGCTTTTAAACCCTGCCTGGATCCCTCAGCTACTTGGTATTAATGTTGCTTTGATTACTAGTCAGGACAAAAAGGGGCTCAAAGGCCATATATGCATTTTGGGGAAATGCACGGATCTGAAGATTTCCTGGGAGTTGGCAAATGCAATTTTATATCCATAAAGACTGTCAACCTATACTTAGTACATCACAGTTATTGAAAAAGGAAAGGAAAAAAGAAAAAAAAGAAAAAGGAAAGGAGTGGGACTCTTGCTTACAACTGAGTCCAGCAGAAACACGTTTGTATATTCCTCCTTTCATAATCACATGGTTCTTTAGTTAGAGACAATGAGTGTGTCCACAGAGCAGAGCTAATGAAAAATTTATAAAGAACCTATGATAGAAAGCTTCACAACCCAGCCTTACTGGATTATAAAATACTCTTCTTACTCAAGCATTACTTTGTGAATCTCTGAAACATCTGAAAAATACTCTTCTGTGACTTACTAGGCTGTAGGGAATGAACAGTTTTAGGTACCTTACAATTATCTCTAGTAGAATCTGCTATCTTTCTTCCATTAACCGAGCATTTCAACTGGATCTTAAAAGGTTGCTGATTTTCATTTTTTGAGTCTGTCCGAGGTTTTGGCTGCTTTAGCTCGGTTTGTCTTTTGGAGTTTCTGTCTCTGGAATTCTTTCTCTGTCCACTGAGTAATTTGTCTGGAGGTGAGGACACAGTCCGTAACTGATACCCATCTGGGGATCCTTTTTGCCTGTCTGGCCTCATTTGCTCTTGATCCACCTCTTTTTGAAGTTGTAATGCTAGTAACCTGTCCTGCTTTTCTTGCACATGTCTCTCAAAAAGTAGATGTTCCAAATCTATCAGTTTTTGGGTAAAGCTGATTTCTGTTTTCTCTTGGTCTGAGGAGGCTTTGGGGAACATTTTTCTTCTTTTTGCAGAAAAGCATGGCTCTCTGATTGCTTCAGACAGAGGTTCTAGGTTTCTTCTTTTGGAGGTATCTTGATTGATCGGTAGGTGAGACTCTTCATTTTCTGTCTCAACCGTGTTGTTTCTAATGAACTGTGTCATATCTGATACAGTACACCCACTCTCTGTTTCACCATAAGGCTTAGTGGCAGCATCTCCAGAGTAGGGAAATCTGGCTTTAGGTTCCTCATGATTTATGACACATAACCCTTTTTCACGATTGCTTGGTCCTGTTTCAACTTTTCCTTCAAGGCACCATTCTCCACCACTGGTACATAACTGAGGCATAGGTGACTCCACTGAAGATTTTGCACCTTGTTCCTGAATAGGAAGGCATGTTTGAGGAGAAAGCGTTGGCATATCTTCCTCAATGTCTGTGTCTTGCCATGTAGGGCTCTTCACATCACTGTTGTCATCAGTTTCCTGTAGAAAACAGAAAAAGATTGAATGAACTAAGAGAAACCATCAAGTTATAACATATAAGTCTTATTACACTGACACCAAAACTGAGTTGTCACTGTATACTATAATTACCTGCTTATTACTACTAAGATATATGAGTTCTTAATAGTATTTTTATTCTGTGTGCCAACTTAAGGTATTTCTTCATTTTCCCTCCCATGAAAACCTACAGCTCAAAACCCACAAGCCAGTTTTATGTATGGCCAGGAGCTGGCACCATGACTTGACCTCTCATCTTATAAACTTCCGCCAACCCAGGGACTTTTAATCCCTTTTTGTGTCACAAACCCTCCTCCTTTTGGCATTTTTGTGAAGCTGACAGATCTCTTCTGAGAATACTATTTTAAAACATAAAAGTAAATACATAGGGATCAATTTATATTACAACACAATTATTAAGATCTTAACAATAATGTGTATCATTAATACATTAATAAGATCCAGTGACAAGTCTAGTAATTTGTAACACTGAAGGAGGGATGAGTATAAATAATGTTTCAAGAGATCTGCAACAAATGTAATATGTTATTGGTGACAAAGACACAGGTACTGTTGACAGTATTATGGTTTGCTGCTTATATTCATGACTAAAGGCAACTAAAATGAGAGGTCAGGCAGAAGATAAACCTTTTCTTTTATCCAGGTTCTTATTTACTCTATGGATTCTACCCACAGACCTTAGGTTAAGAACCCTGGCTTTAGGCAGTATAATTCTTCTCACTTACAGGTCTTGGGTAAGTTAAGATCTAGGATTAGTTTTGACCATGGGAAAGCCTTAAGAAAGGCTTCAGTGAGAATTTGCTTCAAGACAAAAATTATTTCTTGTTCAAGATCTTAACTCTGTTCTTTTACCTACTTTGCTTTGCATTTATTGTTCCTCATAACATTTCTTGTGAACCAATGTAGTCTGGGTTGGACAAATTCTAAGTTGCCTACCACGTTTTGCTATGAGTATTAATATCAGGATGGGGGAAAAAAATCCCAGCCTTCAGTGCCTCCTTCCATCAATCTTTAGTCCCAGCATAAGCCAGACTATCTGGACTTGAATTTTCCTCTATTACCTTTACTTAAGGGACTAACTTTATGGCTCAGCTGGTAAAGAATCTGCCTGCAATGTGGGAGGCCTGGGTTAGATCCCTGAGTTGGGAAATCCTCTGGAGAAGGGAATGGCTACCCACTCCAGTATTCTGGCCTGGAGAATTCCATGGACTGTACAGTCCACCGGGTTGCAAAGAGTTGGACATAGCTAAGTGACTTTCACTTTTATAGGACTCTGAGCAATTCTCTTGCCTCTGCATGTCTCGGTTTTCTCAATTATAATTGGACACAAGGATACCTTACAAAATTGGTGGTTGTGATGAAGATTAAAGAAAATACATACATTTTGGGCACATAAATGTATGTATGTGCATTTGGGGCACATAAATGTCCATTAAGTGTTAGGTACTATAAAACCACCAACGTGAATTGAAAAAAATTTAGGAACCTAGTAACAAAACTTTGGTTAACAAAACTTCTATGTAGGACATTGATCTTGGTGTCAGCTCACTTTTTCTAGTGCTATTTTCATGCAAATATGATAGAGGTAGAATGTCACTTGTGTTACTAGGCCTCATAGCTTATGATAAAAATGACCCTTATTGTTGAACTGCATCTGTACTAGGAAACCTAGGAGGGATCTTTAACCCCCTATAGGAAGCCAAAGTTCAGGGCTTTGGTAAATGACTTACAACTCTGACTGGCTGTGTTCTTTACCAGGACCTCTGGAAGCTACACCCATGAGTTGTTACAGTAAATAATTGACTCTTATGGGGCATGGGACTTCTAAATCTTCGTGGTGACTACACTCCTCTGCATGGTCTGACTTCCAGGCCATCACTTAGGAGCTCTACAGTGAGGATTCTTGCTGAACAGATATGCCTGATGCTGCCCTATTAGTATGCTTTATTTCCCATTCTATTATCTTTTAAGTGAAGCTGGTACCAGGGGTAGCCTATTTAGTTTTGTGAGTCTGATGATCTGGGTCAGTTAGTTCAGTTCAGTTGTGTCCGACTCTTTGCGACCCCATGAATTGCAGCACGCCAGGCCTCCCTGTTCATCACCAACTCCCGGAGCTTACTCAAACGCATGTCCATCAAGTTGGTGATGCCATCCAGCCATCTCATCCTCTGTCATCCCCTTCTCCTCCCACCTCCAATCCCTCCCAGCATCAGGGTCTTTTCCAATGAGTCAACCCTTCGCATGAGGTGGCCAAAGTATTGGAGTTTCAGCTTCAGCATCAGTCCTTCCAATGAACACCCAGGACTGATCTCCTTTAGGATGGACTGGTTGGANGGCTTTCGCATAGTCAATAAAGCAGAAATAGATGTTTTTCTGGAACTCTCTTGCTTTTTTGATGACCCAGTGGATGTTGGCAATTTGATCTCTGGTTCCTCTGCCTTTCCTAAAACCAGCTTGAACATCAGGAGGTTCATGGTTCACATATTGCTGAAACCTGGCTTGGAGAATCCTGAGCATTACTTTACTAGCGTGTGAGATAAGTGCAACTGTGTGGTAGTTCGAGCATTCTTTGGCACTGCCTTTCTTTGGGATTGAAATGAAAACAGACCTTTTCCAGTCCTGTGGCCACTGCTGAGTTTTCCAAATTTGCTGGCATATTGAGTGCAGCACTTTCACAGCATCATCTTTCAGGATTTGAAGTAGCTCAACTGGAATTCCATCACCTCCACTAGCTTTGTTTGTAGTGATGCTGCCTAAGGCCCACTTGACTTCACATTCCAGGATGTCTGGCTCTAGGTGAGTGATCACACCATCGTGATTATCTGGGTCAGGGATCTACAAATTTTGCCCATGGACAAAATTCCTTTTATCTTTTATATTTTGTCCTACCTCCTTTCGAAGACAATGGGCTGCTTTTCTGGGCGCCTGATGTTCTCTGCTAGCGATCAGAAGTTGTTTTGTGCAGTTTGCTCCCCATTCAAATGTTCTTTCGATGAATTTGTAGGGAGAAAGTGGTCTCCCCGTCCTATTCCTCCGCCATCTTAGCTCCTCCCCCACAATGGACAAAATTCAACTTGGTGTCTGTTCTTGTAAACAGTTTTACTGGAACAAAAAAAGCTCATTTGTTTACATTTTATTCTGGATGCTTCCACGTGAAAACAAATCACTGAACAGTTGACTGAGACTACCTGGGCCACAAAGCCTAAAATATTTACTGTCTGGCTTTTTAGAGAAAAAAATCTGCTGACTCCTAAGTTAGGTGAGAATAAGCTGATTAAGAAGGTGTATTCCATTTACTACAGTGACTTTTTTAAAAAAAAAGTTAGGAAACTACAAGTATGAACGATCTATGGCATTAACTTGCCAAGCCAAGAATATCTTTAGCATCCACAAACCTTAGACATGGAGTTCTTTCTGTCTTCCTGCACAACTTCAGACTGTGATGTTGACCCAAGTTGAGATTTAGGTGACAAATACCTTTAGAAAAAAGAGTTTGAAGTCAATTACACTTCAATAAAATACATATATTAAAAAAAAGTTTGCCAAAATTTGAATCTTTGAAACACAAGTGGCATACATCCAACGAAATAAAGCCAGGTTAGCTATTTATGCTGAAAGTTGTCTGGCTTGCTACTTGGCTGATTTCTCAGAAAAAGTGTTATTTTATCTCCCTGTCTCAGGTATTTTGGTCTAGCTCTGGAACAAAACTTAAAAGTCCAAGTATTGATATTTAGTGAAAAATAGAAGGAAAGGAAGCAAAAGTCAAATCTAAATTATTCCTTAATTCTCAAAAGAATCTAAGTAGGTAGGTCCTGGCATCAAAACAACCTAAGGCTGTGTAGTCTTTCCAAAAGTAATGGAAATGACATTTTAAATCAGGAGAAGGAATATGCTAGTTTCTTTTTAATGTCAGAAATTCTAAATTTTTAATCTCTGAAAAATGGTCCATGATCAGATTCTTTACCATTTTGGTTTAGAGATTTTATTACATACAAATTTGTATCAACTATCCGATTACAGAGACAAAAAAGATTTATCAATATGTTAGCGTAAGAGCACATCTCTATCTAAGCATCAGTTTAATCTTGTATTTCTGATAAATTTTTATGTTTATATATTTCAATGTATATATTTAGATTCACGAAGATTTAATGACAGTTATATCCTTCATGTGTGTGCATACTAAGTTGCTTCTCAAACTCATGTCCAACTCTTTGCGACCCTATGGACTATAGCCTCTCAGGCTCCTGGGTCCAAGGGATTCTTCAGGCAGGAATACTGGAGTGGGTTCCTATTTCCTTCTCCAGGGGATCTTCCTGACCCAGGGATCGAGCCTGTCCATTTTTATGTCTCGTGCACTGGCTGGCGAGTTCTCTCACCAACAGCACCACCTGGGAAGCCCCCTATATCCTTTATGTAGAATAATAATATATCAATTTGAAATATCCCTGCTTTTCTATTTTTTTTTTTTAAGTGGAATTTTACCTGCTTTTCTATTTTAATGGCTTTTCTCTTGATTTCTACTTTACATAATATCAACATTAATAATATTGATGCTACATGTCTGCTTTTTCTCTTAATAGCAACCACCTCTTTTAACACTGTCCTCTCCCCATAAATCTTCACCTCCCTGTCCCAAATTTCCACCATCTCAAATCCTAAATTTCTATGAATTTTGGAAGGGGGTAAATCACCTGCACATATTTATCTAGTTGAACCAAAAGCCCTTACATGTTTTTGAACTCAAGATTGTAGTTGATAAACTTCTTCGACTACGAATTACTCTGGGAAAGCTTATCAACTCATCTTGCTGCTAAGAGGGGCACAGTGGGGCAACTAAACTCACTCCATTGTTGACTACCTGACTCATGCTTTTTGTACAGTAGGGAAGAAATGTAATATATAAACTGGGAAAAACAGAGTGGGGTAAGATCTAGATGCCAAACTGTAAACTCTTTCAATGAGGATGACCTTATACTGGACTAGTTGTTTTTTTTTTTTCCATTTGAATCTAAACCAAGAGAAGAAGGAGTCCAACTGATTGATTGAGAAAATGGGACCAACATGGAAATCCTGAGCAGTCAAGATAAAAAAAGGCTTCACATCTCTCTTCATGCTAGCCAGGAATCTAAGCTATGTGAGCATCTCTCTTATTTTCATTTTACATCAATCTCAGACCATCTGGAGGGTTTTCATGCAGAGCTGATGGGCCAGATTTTGATACAGCAGTAGTCTATATTCACTTACTTCTGAATATCTCCAGTGTTTGTTTGTTTGTTCTTACTTTTCTTTTGTGATTTGGTTGTGACCGGATCAGATTTTCTGGAATTCAAAGACGAAGCCAAAACACTTCCCCCACAGAAATTGTTCTTCGACAACAGAAAAAGCATAAAAAATTTTTTTTAATAAAATAAGCTATTAATTAACTCAGAATCCACAATAGAATTTTTCAGGAATTATGCTCATTATGCTTAAATTCTATATAGCCTGTGAAATAATACTGACCATGCAAAAATTAGTATAAACAATAGATTAAGTTTTATCTAAGTTGGTGTAAATTGCATTATTACCCTACTTAGATAAACACAAAGAGCATGATGATACTAATCTCATTAACTGATCATTTTTATATTTTTCTAATGAATAATTTCATATATTTATAACTACTTTAACCTATAGGGGAAAATTGAAAAAGCTGGGGCTATACCTGGAATAAAAGTTATTTTATGTAAAATAATTTAATTTGGGAATTTAAGGGCATACCAATAAATAGCATGAATATTTACTTCCTATCTCATTACAGACCCATAAGTTTCCTACTATGTCATTGGAAAAATTAACATACTTGGTGGTGGTTGACATTTGGCCTTGAACCACCAAACTTTTATTCTAAAATATCAATAGATCTGCTCTTATAATCCCATGTGAAAACAAGAATTAAAACAATAATTCTTGAAAGACAAAGTTGACCCCAGGGTTTCTTCTTTGATATATTTTCTTTCCTATCCCATTTGTTATTCTGTTGGTCTTTTTTTTTTGGCCTTGCAGCTCAGCTAGCAGGATCTTAGTTCCCCAAGCAAGGATTGAACCCAGGGCCATGGCAGTGAAAGTGCTGAGTTATAACCATTGAACTGCCAGGGAAGTTCGATGGTCTATGTCTTTTACTTAATTTCTCAATTGTGTAAAGTTCTGAAGCTATTTCACTTAAATTTTAAAAGGAAATATAATTTTTAAAAGGGTGTACATTGTAAAACTCAGTTATATTACGAATGGCAAGCCTCTCAAAAAATGGGGGGAAAATATCAATTCTGGATATATTTTACTTTGGTAAGTATATTTTAAGATATCTGTTGTTTGAAAGCAGAATTGTTTTTAGAGGCTCTCAAACCTGCACATACATCCCCAGAGGGGAGTGGTATTCCCTAAATCCCATCCCCAAGGATTTTGTATTTTAAAAGAACTTCAAGTGATTCTGCCAGGTCCTCTCAAATCACTGGTCTCACTGTATCCTTTGGTCTTACAGTATATGTTCTATCATCCTTCCCTTAATTCATTGTCCCCTAGGCAGTAATTTTTAACCATGGCAAGATAAAAAAATCCAGGTTTAATATGTTATGTAAGAATTTATGGACTTCCCTTGTAGTCCAGTGTTTAAGACTCCATTCTTCCACGCAGGGGGCATGGGTTCAATCACTGATTGGGTAACTAAGATCCTACAAGCCACTCAGCATGGACAAAAAAGAATTTAATGTGCTTCACTTTCAAAAAGTGATTTGCATCCATACAATGGAATATTTTACCACTATTACAAAAGAATTATAGACTATATGTAGCAATATGAAAAATCTCTTATGAAATATCAAGTGAAAAAAGTCAGGAAATAGTTTCTTATGCGGCTAAATGTCTTCCTTACCCCTTGATGTTGGACCAAGTCAAGTGATTTGCTTTATTAAATGTGGCATGTAAACTATCATGATGTTTAAACAGAAGCGTTAGGAGCCACTGCATGGTTGGCTTTTATTCTCTTTCCTCTTCCATTAAGAACGGCATGGCCTAAAGAGGACTCCCTCTTCACATGGACCACCACCAAATCAGCTGACATGAATCGTGAGCAAGTCATAAATGTGGGTGGTTGAAAGCCTCTGAGATATTGGGATCATCTGTTACCTCTGCAATGCTGACTGATGCCATTTCCCATTTACATGTAAAATGATAAAGGAGAAGTTTGTGAACATAAAATACTAACTAAACCTACATTCAAAAGAAAAAAAAAGGGTCAGAAAAACCCAGTATAATTCATGTATCATTTTTAGGTGAAAAAAAAAAAGAAGTTATAAGAAAGAAACCTAACCTTTGGGGAAAGAGCATGATGTAATGGAATAAGAATAGGAGTGGAGAAGTGGGAGGGGGAAACGGAGTTTTCATTTTCCACTGAACAGCTTCCTACATAACTGAATTTACTTATAAAAAATAAAAGTTTTTTATAGAATACTTGGTGGACTTCCCCAATGGTCCAGTAGTTAAGATTTTGCTTTCCAGTGAGGGAGTATGGATTCGATTCCTGGTCGGGGAGTTAAGATTCCACATGCCTCATGGCAAAAAAACAAAACATGAAAATAACATGGTGAACGCTTCCTCTTTAGACTGTTCAAAATAAAACAAAGCAACAGTAATGGAAATACTTCAAAGTTCTCTCTTGAAACTTACAATATCAAGGCTTAGTCTTCTTGCCAGTTCTGCATCACTTTTCAGTTGTTCTTCCATTTCTCTGTGCCTTTCTTCTGCCTGTCTCTTTTCCTCCGCTTCCTCCTCTGCCAGTAATCTCTGAATGTATTCTTCACTGGCTTTGTTTTCTTCTTCCTCACAGGCTCGCCGCTCTGCCTCTACCTTAAAGATGATTAATACAGTACAATCCTTCTCTGAACTTTTGAGTACACTTGCAATATTTCTTAATAAGATTAGTAAAAAAAAAAAGAAAGAAACAACAACAAATTGGCAGGAATTAAAATCCCTCAAATGAAGGCCAAATCTGGAGAGGCGATTTCCTGTAAAGTAGTTCAGGAAGTCTCCTTTAGGAAGCCTCCCCAGTCAGTCCAGTGAAACCTTGATCAAAGCCTCATCCCTCCTTGTTTCAGTCCTTATCACAGTTTCTATTACACTATAATAAAGTTTTGGAAGTCTTCCTAGGGGATATTTTTCCTTAGGTAACAGAAGGTCACGTTCTGACTAACTTTGGCATAGGTTTCTGAACCAAACACTAGCAAGGGAATGGAATGATAAAAACTGAATTAAACTAATCAGGGTCTCTCCCTGAAGTTGGGATGAATCTCCAAACACAGTGGGCAGGGGTGCAGTAGTTGCTGAAAAAACAACAACGGTCATTATATGATCTACAGATGAGGAAAGACACAGAAAAACTTTAATAGATCAGTAAGTGATTTAACTTTCTTAGCTCAGTAAGTGGAAAAGTGGGGGCTCAAACTCAGCTTTCTGGACCTAAGACCATGCTTGTGGGCATTTAAACTATACTTCTTGAAAGAAATAATGTTAAGAAGAACTACTTTAGAAATCCAAAGGACCTGACTCGAAAGTAAGTCCTTGACTCAATTCAAGTGAAGGAAACAGGAGAAAAGATTTGTTGTTTTCTTGCTCTTAAAGGAAAGCCATTGGAAGAGACTGCTGTTTGTTCCTCTGCGTATAACTGTATATGCAACTGAGGTCAGAAATGTGCAGCAGTCTTGCTATTAGCCTGAGGATAAAGCCAGGTGACAGAAGTCAGCAAAGAAATGGAACTAGAGCTCTGGATAAAACCAACCCTGAAGTCCCTACTAATCTCTGGAATTCCAATAAATTACAGTTTTTTTCACCTGTACCCCAAATCATCCTAATAAAACCTGTTCTCATTACACTGTTGTGAACATTAAATTATTCCTTAAACCCTTACTTAAAGACACTGTTTAGACAACATGCTGACAACTAACTACTACGATTATTTACTAGCTCTTATAGAGCTCACATGATCTAATACAGTAGCCACTAGCTACATGTGGCCATTGAAATGTGACTAGTCCAAATTGAGATGTAGTATAAGTACAAAATACACAGTTGAAGACCAAATAAGAATAATCAATACTTTCTAAAAAAAAAAGAATAATCAATACTTTCTATATTGACTACATAATAAAATATTTTAGATACAATATCTATAAAAATTGTTTTTTAAAAAATGTGGCTAATAGGAAACTATGTATGAACCCACATCATGTTTCTATTGGACAACACTGCTCTAGACTAATCAGGATAGGAGGAGTACTAAGGTTCTCCTAGTACTAGTGAAATCCAAAGAGCCCTCTTTTCCTAATTAGGTACCTGACAAAGAAAGTAGACTGACTACAAGCAATAAATGCTGGAGAGGGTGTGGAGAAAAGGGAACCCTCTTACACTGTTGGTGGGAATGCAAATTAGTACAGCCGCTATGGAAAACAGTGTGGAGATTTCTTAAAAAGCTGGAAATAGAACTGCCATATGACCCAGCAATCCCACTTCTGGGCATACACACCAAGGAAACCAGATCTGAAAGAGACACGTGCACCCCAATGTTCATTGCAGCACTGTTTATAATAGCCAGGACATGGAAGCAACCCAGATGCCCATCAGCAGACGAATGGATGAGGAAGCTGTGGTACATATACACCATGGAATATTACTCAGCCATTAAAAAGAATTCATTTGAATCAGTTCTAATGAGATGGATGAAACTGGAGCCCATTATACAGAGCGAAGTAAGCCAGAAAGATAAAGACCATTACAGTATACTAACACATATATATGGACTTTAGAAAGATGGTAACGATAACCCTATATGCAAAACAGAAAAAGAGACTCAGATGTATAGAACAGACTTGTGGACTCTGGGAGAAGGCGAGGGTGGGATGTTTCAAGAGAACAGCATTGAAACATGTATATTATCTAGGGTGAAACAGATCACCAGCCCAGGTTGGGTGCATGAGACAAGTGCTCGGGCCTGGTGCACTGGGAAGACCCAGAGGGATTGGGTGGAGAGGGAGGTGGGAGGGGGGACCGGGATGGGGAATACATGTAAATCCATGGCTAATTCATTTCAATGTATGACAAAAACTACTGTAATGATGTAAAGTAATTAGCCTCCAACTAATAAAAATAAATGGAAAAAAAAAAAAAGAAAGTAGACTGAGCACCAAAGAATTAATGCTTTTAAACTGTGGTGCTGGTGAGACTCTTGAGCGTCTCTTGGACGACAAGGAGATCAAACTAGTCAATCCTAAAGGAAATCAACCCTGAATATTGGAAGGATCAATGCTGAAGCTGAAACTCCAATACTTTGGCTATCTGATACAAAGAGCAGACTCACTGGAAAAGACCCTGTTGCTGTGAAAGATTAAAGGCTGGAGAAGGGGATGACAGAGGACGATGGTTGGATGGCATCATTGACTCAATGGACATGAGTTTGAGCAAGCTCCAGAAGATGGTGAAGGACAGGGAAGCCTGGTGTGCTGCAGTCCATGATGTTATAGAGTCGGACATGACTGAAAGACTGAAAAACAACTTCACAATTAGCCCTTTATGCTTTCCTCATCTAAAAGCATTGTTTGTGCCTCTAAAATTCATATACTGAAGCCCTGACTCCTCAACGTGACATTTAGAGGTGGGGCCTTCAGGAGGTAATAGGATCATGAGGGTGGAGTCCTCATGAAAGGGACTAGTAGCCTTAGAAGAAGAGACACAAGAGAGAGGATCCATCTCTCCCTCCCTCTCTTTGCCATGTAAGAACACAGTGAGAAGGCAGCTGTTGAGAAGCCAGGAAACAGACCCTTGCCCAACACCAGATCCAGAACTGAGAAGTCAATGTTTGTTGCTTCATTCACCCAGTCTATGGTGTTTTTGAGCCTGAATGAACTTAAGACACCATAAACTACCACTGTTTTCCCATCCTTTATGCTTAAAGCTTCAGGAAAATTTAAAGTCTCTTTTACACTTAAATGCTTACAGATCACTATCACATAGGAAGAGCACGAAACAAGTATAAATAAACTAAAGCTAATTTTAACTATTTTGAACACATGTAAAAACTGGAGCTGTGGGATGTCCCTAGAGGTTCAGAGATTAAGACTTTGCAGAGGTGAGGGTTTGAGCCCCTGATCAGGAAGCTAAGATCCCACATGACTTGCAGCCAAAAAGCAAAACATAAAACAGAAACAATACTGTGTTTCAATAAAGACTTTAAAAAATGGTCCACATTAAAAAAAAAAAACTGAAGCCTTTATAAACTATATTAAAATCATTAACATTTCAGTATATATTACTTATTTATATAGGCACATAAAACTGTATGCAAAACCACAGCAGAAAATTTTTCCAAACAAGAGCATTTATGACCTACCTTGCTTATTTCCTCTTCATATTCTCTTCTTAATTCCCCAGGTTTACTTAATAAGCGGACTGGCTGATAGTCATCAACTGTTTCAGATCAAGAGAGAAAATTACATTATAGGCAATTACAGAATTCTATAGCTAGCTTTGAGCTTCCATTAAACCCATATTAATATAAAATGCAAAATTAAAATAAGTGTACAATTATTAACAGCTATAGGAATATGGAATTCCATTTTAAAAAAGGCCAGAGGTTTTCTGGTTCAAAATGGCACACAAATACGTATACTTAGCTCTTTCTCTAGAAACCATTAAAATAACAGTAAAGGAATTTTTAAAAAGCAATCCCACAATAATAACAGAAAGTTCTCCAAAAAAGATATATACAAATGGCCAGCAAGCACATGAAAAGATGCTCATCATCACTAGTCATTAGGGAAATATAAATCAAAACCACAGTGAGACAGCATCTTCCCCCTACCCCATCAAACAAACAAAAAAAAAACAAAACCAGAAAGTAGCAAATGCTAACAAAGACACAGAAAGGAACTCTTGCCCTTGCTGGGGGGACTATTTAAGATTGTACAGCTGTTATGGAAGAGTATAGCAGTTTCTCAAAAAATTAAAACACAGAATTACCACATGATCCAGCAATTTCTTTTCGGATACATACTCAAGAGTTGAAAGCAGGGACAGACACTTGTACACAAATGTTAATTCAAGATAGCCAAAAGGTGGAAGCCAAAGATGGAAGTAACCCAATGACCCATTGACAGATGAAAGGTTAAACAAACACAGTAAACACATACAATAAAATATTAGCCATAAAAAGAAATGAAATTCATTCACATGCTACAACATAAAGGCTGACTTTATGTTAAGTGAAAGAAGGTGGTGATCATTTTGTACTATGTAAAATTACTGAATCACTGTTGTGAAATAGTGAACCTAATATAACACTGTAAGGTAATTATACTTGGATTATTTTAATGAAGGCGCCAAATTGCCCATACTGGGAAAAAGAGAGGAGAAAAAGAGAAAGGGAGGGAAGGAGGGAAGGGACAAAAAAAGCTACAAATAGCTACTATGATTCTACTTATATAAGGTACATAAAGTAGTTAAATCACAGAGACAAGAAGTAACAGTGGTAGCCAAGGGCTGGGTGGAGAGGAACTGAGGAATTATTGTTTAATGGGTATAGAGTTTCAGTTTTTGAAGATGAAAAAGTTCTGGAAAGGGATGATGGTGATGCTTGCACACCTATGTGAATGTACTCAATGCCTTGAACTGAACATCTAAAAATGGTTAAAATGGTAAATTTTGTAATGTATACTTTACCACAATTTAAAAAACATACTAAGATACCAGTTAACACCTCCTAGGATGGCTATAGAAGTTTTTTTTTAAAAAGCAGAAAAGAACTAGTGTTGGTTAGGATATGCAGAAATTGAAACCATTACACATTGTGAAGGGAATGTAAAAGGATGCAGATCTGTGAAAAAGTTTGGCAGTTCCTCAGAAGGCTAAACAGAATTACCATATGATCCAGCAACTCCACTCCTACATACACAAAAAATGAAAACATATTCAAACAAATACTTGTACATGAGTATTCATATCAGCACCCGTTCAAACAGCCAAAAGGTGAAAACTACCCAAATGTTCATCAATGAATGAATGAAAAAAATATATACATAAAAATTATTCAGCCCTAAAAAGGAATGAAGTACTAATACATAATAGAACCTTGTATGAACCTTGGAAACATTATGCTAAGTGAAAGAAGCCAGACACCACAGATCACATATTTTATGAATACACTTATATTATCTTTGTTGCTGTTGTTGAGTCACTAAGTTGTGTCTAATTTTTGGGGGGACCCCATGGACTGTAGCCCACCAGGCTCCTCTGTCTATGGGATTTCGCAGGCAAGAACACTGGAGTGGGTTGCCATTTCCTTCTCCAGGGGATCTTTCTGATCCAGGGATTAAACCTGCATCTCCTGCATTGGCAGGTGGATTCTTTACTGCCCAGGCACCTGGGAAGCCCTTCCCATTGAATACCTATTGCTTATTCTGAAGTTCTTTTGTTCTCAGATCCATCAAATAGCCCAGATGCTTCTTTCTGCTTATACCATGGAGATCTAATTTTGGTGATTTGTCCTGGTATCTTTTGGGGTTTATGAGAACATTTTATGAGCTAATTCTGTGGTAAATGATGTCTATGATGTTTAATTCTGCTAAATAAGTGGTGTGTGTGTTTTACTGCGGCTTCACAGAAATTAAAAAAAACCAAGCAAATTCACAGAGAACTCTGGAAAGGGGGAGGGGAAGAATGGGAGTCATAGCTTAATGGTTAAAGAGTCTGTCTGGAGTGATGAAAAAGTTTTGGAAACATAGTGGTGATGGTTGCAAAACATTGTGAATGTAATTAACACTACCGCGTCCACTTAAAAATGGTTAAAATGGCAAATTAAGAAAAACTATGACCAACCTAGACAGCATATTAAAAAGCAGAGACATTACTTTGCTGATAAAGGTCTGCAGAGTCAAAGCTATGGTTTTTCCAGGAGTCAGGTATAGATGTGAAAGTTGGACTATAAAGAAAGCTGAGCGCTGAAGAACTGATGGTTTTGAACTGTGGTGTTGGAGAAGACTCTTGAGAATCCCTTGGACTGCAAGGAGATCCAACCAATCCATCCTACAGGAAATCAGTCCTGGATATTCACTGGAAGGACTGATGCTGAAGCTGAACTCCAATACTTTGGCCACCTGATGAGAAGAACTGACTCAATGGAAAACACTCTGATGCTGGGAAAGACTGAAGGCAGGGGAAGAGGACAACAGAGGATGAGATGGCTGGATGGCATCACTGACTCCATGGATATGAGTTTGAGCAAGCTCCACGAGTTGGTGATGGACAGAGAAGCCTGGCATGCTGTAGTCCATGGGGTCACAGCGTCAGACATGACTGAGTGACGGAACTGAATTGACAGTAAGTAAAAAGAATTCCAAAAAAAAAGGTAAGTACACCACAACATTAAGCATCACATTCAAAGCCTAAACAAGAAACATCGCATTACTTATTGAGCACATAAATGATCAAGCTGCTAGAGTCAAGTGTTTAGTTTGGGGCATAAGGAAGAGTCCACACTGTGGAGGACCTCTGAATAAAAACGGCTGAACTAGATGACCACAGAAACCTATTTCAGGCTCCCTGCAAACTTAAGAATTAAATGAATGGCAATGTATAGGCAAGCAAGTTAGAGAAAGTAATTGAAAGTGAAAAAGACATTAACACAAGAATCCAGTAGTTTCCTTACTTCTGCTGTTGCTATACTGCGATTGTGGCTCCTCTGCGACTATTTATATAACTTTCACATGACTGGAGACTCTATCGGGCAATCCTTTCGTTTGGGGTTTTCCTTTTCAATTTTTAATTGAACAAACACCAAGTGAACACAGGCTAGGCATTATAACAATGAACAAAATATTGCCATTGTCTTTAATCAACATTTTGAGGCCAAAAAAACCCAAACACCTCTGAAAATTTTAGACAAATTTTAGTAACTGGTTCTCTGTTTTATCCTTTAAAAAATGGATTAGTGGCGGTTGGCTTTCAAAATGATCTTGGTTTTTAGACAACAAACGCGCTGGGTTCTACTCACCAATTTCCTCTGATTCTTGCCCAGCGGCTCTTAGCTTGCATTCCTTTGGATAGTGTTTTTGAATTATCTCCCACAGTTCCATATTAACAAGAGAATTTGTTCGGTTACGGTACCGAGCCCACGAAGAGACACGGCGGCGACAGAAGGGACAGCACAAATTTGCCTTTTCGACAGTCGATTCGAAGCATGGTTTACAGAGCGTGTGGTTACAAGGCAGAGTCACAGGCTCAAAAAGGATTTCCACACAGATCTGGCATTGACATTCTAACAAGGAAGGGATGGCGTCTTTGGGTACAGCCATTTTAATATGCTAATAAGGCATATTCAACATCAACACCTGAAAAACAAAGAATGTTGTTTCCGGTCCGAGTAGGAAAAAAGCAAAGTAACAGTTTCGCGTTTTAAATATTATGCCCAGCAGCCTGCCAGAATTCGGAGATTGAAAGCAGCAAATGTCTAGAAGTAAAAAAGGTGTTCTAAAGGTCAGGTAAACAGTACGACTCTGGAAGGCGGTGTATTATCCATGCTTAAGATGAACATCCGGAAAGAAAACAAATGAATCTTCGCTGCTCCCAGGCATTAACAACCATTGCAGCAGGGCGGAAGGTGGGCTCCAGCTCTCCGGCGCGGCCGGAGCCACGCGCCAAGTTCCCCTCCTTCCTCTTACCAGGTGAGGACGCTCCCTGAGCTCCCGGCAGCCAAGTCGGAGGGCCCCGCGGCGCACAGCCCTCGGGCCATCGCTCGAGGAAGACTGCAGCTCCCCCCCCACCCCCCGGACGCGGGCTCCGTTGGAGCGGGACTTCCGTTTCACCGCTGCTGTGGGCCCGCGCTCGCGCCTTACCCGGATTCTGAGCCCACCCCTTCCTCTCTCTAAAGTCAGCCAGAAAGCCTAATCTTAGCGGCGGTGCCTTAGAATCCCGCAAGGGCTAGTGGCGTCACGACTGCCCGCCAAAACGGCCCCACCCACCATAGAAAACCGACAAAGGATACAAACAGCTAACATTCCGCCTGACGGGACTTCCGGGCCTGCGCGCGCACTGCCCACCCCGCTGGCCCCGCCCCTCTGGCCCGAGAGAGAGCCCGCCCCTCCCCTCGCGTGGCGTGTGTGCTTGCGTGCTAAGTTGGTCCAGTTCTTTTGAACTCTGCGACACTATCGTCTGTGGCCCGGAAGATTCCTCTGTCTATGGGATTCTTGAGGCCAGAATACTGGAGTGGGTTGTCATGCCCTTCTCCAGGTGATCTTCCCAAACCAGGGATGGAACCCCCGTCTCCTGCGGCGCCTGCATTGCCGGGTTCTTTTACTGGTGAGCCACCGCCTCCCTCGGGTCGTTGTGGCTCTAATTTTCCCGCGTGATTCCTGCTCCCGGGGACTGCGGAAACCGGGCAGTGTCGCAAGATTGGTCTCTGGGCGGAAAAAGGGAAACCTCAAAACAAACTAAGAGCCGAGCGGTAACTTGAAAATTCTCCCCTCCATACTCCTCAGCCTTCCTTTCTGTAGTACCATTCTGTACTGTTCATACATGATGGCCTGCCTCAGGGAACCTTGCCCCTCTGCCTGACTGTTAAATCAGGACCTTTGTTCAGGACCCTGTTCACCTGGGGATGGCTACAGGAAGAAATCGACACATCCCTTCCCCCAGGCTTGCCATTCTAGGAGATATTTGCAAGATGAAGGGGCTTTTTACTTCTCTTCCTCACCCCAGCCCCTCCACCTACACGTTCTATAAAAGAACCTGGCATCCAGACCCAGATAGGATGGTTATTTTGAGACATTAGTTTGCCATCTTCTTGGTCAGTGAGTAGAACCAGCTGGGACTTGGTAATGCTGTCTGTTCAAGCCCAAGCTGCCTGTTCTCTTTATTTGGTGCCCTGCAATAAATGCTGTACTACTTTTTATTTTATTTTATTTTATTTTTTTGTACTTTCCCTTAACACAACCTCATGTCAGTAGATTGGCTTTGTTGCAGACCCAAGTTTGGTTTAGTAACACTTCCAAAACACAGTTCCAGTCTTTCTCTCTTTTGTGGCACGGTTTCTCTAAACAATGTGTCTGGAGAAGGATAAGACTTGAGTGCATATATCTGGCAACCAACCTATTTTCAAGGAGGAATCAGCAAGATAACACATCTTGTATTACTTCTCATCCTTCTCTATCTAACTTCCCTCCAAGGTGTTACTCATTCTGGTTGTCCTGAATTTGTACCTTCCAAATAAAGTAACTTTTGCCTGTAGGGCAGGATCCACATTTTAAAATGTTTCTATTATTGACACTACATATTGCATGGCATTTGTTCAAAAAAGAGTATAAAATATATGATCACTGTGTGGGAATTCCCTTTCTAGTATAAAATAACCTATGGAACTGTACCAGAGAGAAAATGCACATCAACATACAAAATATAGTAGATTTTTTTTTTTTTGCTTTACTACATCATACATTCACATGTTTCAAAATTCATAAAGTACAAAATGAATTAACAGTGAAAAGACTTCTTCCTACCTTTGATCCCTAGCCTCAAATTAGTTTTCTTTCCTAAAACAACCAATGTTACCACTTTTTAATGTATTTCTCCAGAAGTTTATAGATATAGTAGCCTATGTATTTGTTTTTGCCCTTTTTTTTTCCATTGAGCAATAATGTTGGAAATATTTTAAAACACATCTTGGTGATTACTCTGTGTTACTATACAGTTACATGAAAGCTTTTTCATTCTCTTATATTGCTACACAGAAGGTATCCATTGTATCAATGTATTATAATTTAACACTCTTCTCACTTTTGCTATAAAAATAAGCTTGTAATAACTTGTATATATGTATTGCTTCCCATTTGCAAGATAAATTATACTAGACATGGAATCTCTGAGACCAGTGTAACAGATTAGCTTTTGACTGGTGGTATCAACTCTTTTAGGGGTGACTTTTTCTCTTTGGGGGCCGTCTCTGCTTTCCCCTTCTCAATGACCTGAATAGCCTTCAGCAAACCATCCTGCAGAGCCTGGTTCTTTACCATATTAGAGATCATGAAATTGATATCTCTTATATACATCTGCCTTACTTTAGCAATGTAGTGTTCTGCCTTGTTACCATGTGCTACAAAGAAGATACACAGTGCTGTGATATCTCCTTCTTGCAACCCATACTCCTGCAGAACAGACTCCCATACAACTCTGATGCGCTTGTTCTTGACTTTTTGTCTAAGGATGGAGGCTAAGGTGGGAAGACTTCTCACCAGATCTGGCAGCTTCTCAAGCACGCGAGTGTGCAAGTGGACAAGTACTTCAATGACGTAGCTGTATAAAATATTCAGTTCCATTGAAGTGAACCTACAAAAAATGTGGGCACTTCTTAAGCAGTAGAACTCTCTTTATGTACAGCCATAAAGTGAATTTTATTAGGATAATTCAAAGAATTATAAACATACTAGGAGAACTTTAAACAGATTGGGTTAGAGGTCTCCAGAGAAAGAGAACAAGACTTGGATCTCTTAACATAAGAAAAGCCATTGTTTATCTAAGCAGTTTTGTGATCTAAGCCTGGCCACAATGCTTGCCCTGGAACAGATCTCAGTAATTCATGATCTTAAGGGAAGTGATGGAATGTTGGAACAAAGGAAAGGCTATCAAGAAACAATAGATCAGTGATAAGTGTTAGTTGCTCAGTTGTGTCCAACTCTTCGTGACCCCATGGACTGTCACCCACCAGACTCCTTTGTCCAGGGATTCTCCAGGCAAGAATACTGGAGTGGATTGCCATTTCCTTCTCCAGGGGATCTTCCTGACTCAAGGATTGAACCTGGGTCTCCTGCATTGTAGGCAGATTCTTAACCATCTGAGCCACCAGGGAAGCCCAGTTCTTCCTAAAAGGATATAGGTAACAATCTGATATATATCTTAGAGTTCTGCAGGAACTAAGGCCCCACCCAGGTGGTCGTGGTGGTGATTGTTCAGTCACTCAGTCATGTCCAGCTCTTTGCAACTCCATGGACTGTAGCACACCAGGCATCCCTGTCCTTCACTATCTCCTGGATTTTGCTCAAACTCATGTCCATTGAGTTGATGATGTCATCCAATTATCTCATCCTCTGTCACCCCTTATTCTCCTGCCTTCAGTCTTTACCAGCATCAGGGTCTTTTCCAATGAGTCAGCTCTTTGCATCAGGTGGCCAAAGTACTGGAGCTTCAGCTTCAGTATCAGTCCTTCCAAAGAATATTCAGGATTGACTTCCTTTAGGATTGACTGGTTTGATCTTCTTGCTATCCAAAGAACTCTCAAGAGTCTTCTCCAGCACCACAGTTCGAAAGCCTCAGTTCTTTGGTGCTTATCCTTCTTTATGGTCCAACTCTCACATAGCTTTGACTAGGCAGATCTTTGTTGGCAAAGTATTTTCTCTGCTTTTTAACACACTGTCTAGGTTTGTCATAGCTTTTCTTCCAAGGAGCAAGTGTCTTCATTTCATGGCTGCAGTCACCATCCACAGGTGGAGCCCGAGTGGAGGGTAGAATGATGATATTGACCTTTTCTGACCCTTTTGATTTCAATCACTAAAGCTTGAATTCTGTCAACCTTTGCCCCAGTTCTGTGCTGGTTGTCTCTGTTCAAGCTCCTTCATGAATATGCATCTATCCTTAGCTTAAAACTTCCTGATTTGGATATTTGGGAATACACTGCTTAGGGAAAGATCCCTGCTGTTCTCCTTACTTGCTGCAAGTAATAAATCCTTCCTTGTCCAAATCTTTGGCTTGGTTGTGTCTTTTGGCCCAGCACCCACCAAGAGGCCAACCCAGCTTTTGGGTTCGGAACAGAAGCAGCTGTTGTAGTTTAGGAAATACTTTAGAAATAGGGCTTGCCCTATTACAAAAGCCAGGACATGGAAGCAACCTAAGTGCCCATCAGCAGACGAATGGCTAAAGAAGGTATGGTGTATATCTACAGTGGAATGTTACTCAGCAATAAAAATGAGTGAAATAATGTCCTTGCAGCAACAAGGATGGACATAGAGATTATAATACTAAGTGAAGTAAGACAGACATCACAATATCACTTATATGTGGAATCTAAGAGAACAGTACAAATGAACTTACTTATGAAATAGATTCACAGACACAGAAAATAATGAACTTACTTATGAAAGAGATTCACAGACACAGAAAATAATTTTATGGTTACCATAGTATAAATTAGGAATTTAGAATTAACAGATACATACTATTTAAAAGAATTTTTTTAAAGAAGAAATAGGGTTTGCACTCAACTGGATAGCTTAGATTTCAGGCCAGTCATACTACAAATTTTTCAATGGCAAAGCACTTATATTATCCATCTCTGTGTTATTAAGACTTTGCCAAGCAAGGGACTCTTGAGATGTGTACCAGAGTATGGCAAGTAAACCAGCACTCAATCTTTTTTGAATGAATGAGCCTGAGAAAATGTGATTTCTTCACAACCCATTGTTGGAACCATATTAAGAAACCCAGTTTTAGAATGACCACTGCAAGCTATCATTAAACCACATAATTCCACTGATTTCTGATTAGATACTCACTTGAGTGACAGAACTGCTGTCCATAGCTCATCTTGGGCTCCCTGGTTTGCCAAAGTCTTGCTATGATCTTCAAATTTCTGTGTCAGATTATCCTTGATGAAGTCCAGTTCTTTAAAGTGTGCTTCTAAAGCTTGGAGTTTGTGGTCTATTCTATAGGATAACAGAATCAAAGGTTAATTTGGGTCAGAGCACAAAATTAAGATTTCGCCTGAAGATAAAGCTACAATACATTGTTTATAGTCACTATCAGTAGCTACTTAAATTTTACAATTATGGATAGATGTTCCCATTTGCCATTCTCTCTAGTCATCATCCTAGTTCTTGCATTCCTTATATTGCCAAACATGTGAATTGTCTATCTCAACTATCTGCCTCATCTTTATTAATATATTGTACCTCATACTTTAAGAAGTATTTTATACAAACTTTAATTTGATTCTCACAATAGCCATAAGTAGTGAAGCAGTCATTTTTACTATTTTACAGGTAAAGAAATTGAGTCTCAAAAAGATCAAGATTTAACCATCATATAGCTATTAACAAGTGCTGAGACCCATATTTATTAAGGTGGCTTTCTCTACCTTACTCTGACTATCAAAGTCTTATCCATCAAGGATAAGCTCATTCCATGCCTGCTTGAATCCTTCAGCCTTTCTACCTGGAGATCAGCTCCTTGCCTGCTTCTCTGTCACAGACACTGTCTCTATTACTTGTCACTCCCATCTCTTCCTTTATTTTTAGAGTTAGCTTTTCGTGATCTAAATTGTAAACTCTTGAAGAGAGAGGATCATAGACTATTTCTTGAACATCTTTATGCTTGTCCCCCAATATCTAGCAGAGGTCTTACATAGAAGTAATAAAACATGTCTTCTATGACATTTGTGGTATCAGTGAAACGCTAGGCAGTGTAACAACAAAGGGGGGACCTGAGTTTCTCTGAACAACCCTGATCATTAGAGGGCGCTGTGGCACCAAAATTACGTCTAACTGAACCACAAAGAACTGAAACCCCACAGCTCACTTGTTTGAAGTCACCCACACTGTCTTTCATGAAGGGATACACAGCCAGTTCCCTGAGTTTCTATGTCCCTAGTGACCTGAATACTGTTGTGGTTGCCTAGGGTTCTGTCCTTGCCCATCTTCTCTTCTTGGTCTTCACTTTATTCCAAGGTTAATTAGCTTCAGGTACCACCCCTCTCCTAAGCTCTAGAGCTGAATTTTCACTATGTTTTGTACATCTCCACTTAGATGGTGGTATCAGACTCAACTGTCTTAAGCTGAATTTACTAAGTAAACCCCTCCCCTTGCACTCTATCTTCAGAAATTTCAGCAATGGATTTTTCTTGTTCTGGATTCTATACGCATATAGATAAAGCTCTGTATGAAATGTGCATTTTCATTGGGAAAATCCCCTGGAGAAGGGAATGGCTATCCACTCCAATATTCTTGGGCTTCCCTGGTGGCTCAAATGGTAAAGAATATGCCTGCAGTGCAAGAGACCTGGGTTTGATCCCTGGAGATGGGAATGGCTACACTGCAATATTCTTGCCTGGAGAATTCCAGGGCAGAGGAACCTGGCAGTGTAGAGTCCATGGGTTTGCAAAAAGTCAGATACAACTGAGTGACTAATATTTTCACTTTTTTTCAAGGCTCTGTATATGCATTTTCATAGGAACATAGGCCTACATGACCTAATATGCCAGCAATCTGTCCACATGTCAAAACTATTATATCTGATAAACTCTTTGTATTAACTTTTAGACCTTTAAGAACATACTTCTTATAAGTCATCTCCAGCTTGAACTCTAGAGATAAACTTTAGCTTGTCCATCGGTATAAAGGTTTATATAAATTGAAGCAATTATTTGGAATCCTTTCACCAAAAGGCATTCCTAGATCGTTTCAAATAAATCCTAAGGAACATGTCTGCAAATTTGCATTTCTGTGACAGTTGTCCAGCTCAGTTAATGGGATCACCATTTACCCAATTCCTTGAACTAGAAATCTCAAAATAACTCACTATTTTCCCCCTTTCTTTCCATCAAATGTCTCTAATCTATTCCCTCCTCTCTATCTCTAGTAAGTCAGTTAATCACCATCTTTCACTTCGACCTAGGATTACAGTAGTCTAACCAGATTTCTGCTCTTCACCTCCAATCCATCCCCGAGAGCTATTCTTCTAAAACACAATTCTGTTCTCATAACTTGACTATTATATACATCTTATGCTGCCCTGACTTGCCTAGTGATATTGCTGGAGTCAAGTTGGATCGCCTCAGCAGGAATTGTAGACTCTTTAACCTTTGCCCCTATCCTCTGCCAGTCCTCTTGCACAACTTAGTCACCAGTCACATGAGACATCTAGCTGCTGACTGAATACGGTATGAGTCCAAGCATCTGTGGTTTACATGTACTGTTTCCTCACCCTAGAATTCCTTCCCATATTTTTATTTCTTGCAAACTCCTACTCACACTTTCAGATCCAGTCTAAACGTCCCTCTCTGAAGGGTTCCTTTTCCTAGTATCAAAGGCAAAGTTCATTCCTCTTTTCATGTCTCATAGCCCTTTAGGAGCATCACCATTATAAGTAAGGTCAGTCACGTTAAATTGTAAACATTTTTTAATAAGTCTGTTATTCCAAAGGCTGTGAGCTCCTTGAGCACAGAAACCACATTTTACTTATTTTTGTAAGCCCAGCATATAGCGCATGCATTAATCGAATGGAATACAGCACCTAGGAGGAGATTTTTCTTTATTATTAATGGACACAATTTTTGAACCTGAACACATTAACAGAAAAAGAATTCTAATTAGCATGCCTGTAGTTCTTTGCCTGTTTTTATTCTTCATTCTTCTCCTACCCATCTTCCCAGAAAAGCCGACCCATGCTTGCTCCCTCCCTGTAGCCCTTAGCAACCTTTTCATTGCCTCCTTCAAGGATATCAGGGTTGTGGTTTCATTGTTCATCTTCTTAAGGCAAAATGAAAAGAAACAAAACAAGCAAAACAAAAGCCCCACAGAGGTTTGAATCCAGGGTTTTCTGCTGCTATCCACTCAGCAACAGGCAGCAGCAGTGTGAGTATTCGATCTAAATTCTGCCTGAAAGGTCACTCAGTACAAGAAGCTTTTAATAGCTTGTACATCCAGATATAGTTCCAAAGAACTGATCGTGTGAACACAGGTGTCCTGGGATGCACTATAGTATTTGCCTTTGAAAAATGACCCATAGTACATCAAACAGATGTACTATGTAAATCACCCATAGTAAAACAACCAGATGTAACTGTGACTCAGTGTATATTCTGGTAAATGGATATATAGGTACACAAATGTATACATATACTAGGATTAAATTTGATGGAAATACTACTCTCAAATTTTAAGAGCTTAATTATTCACTTAGAACTTAAATTAGTTTTAAAGAAGCTTCAGACCTTTTATGATGAATTATATCAATGCGAAAAAAATCTAACCATCCTTAGAAACTAATAAATATTTATTAAGCTTATAGTATTAGATTAGGTATTAGAAATAAAAACAGGCATAAAACAGGATTTCTGAATTCAAGGGGTTTAAATACTAACTGAGGAGGTATTTAAAAGATAAATATATTGAAAAGAAAAAAAATATATGAAAGTACTATGTGCTGAGTAGATACAGACCATAAAAATCATATGTGATGAGAGAGTATGTCACTGAAGCCTTGGATGATTGAGTATCACTCACATTGAAGGTGAAATTTGGTTTTGGCCTTAGAGGAAATGTAGGTCATTGATTATCAGAGAAGAGAGAGAAGAGTATTACAAACCGGAGAAACTGGATAAAATTACACATGTAGGTGGCAAGGTTATGTGATGTGGTCAGGGAACAATGAGTGAGTGTCTCTCAAGCAAAAAACTCATGTGAGAGAAAGAAAAACAATAGCATTTAAACTGATTAAGAGTCAGGTCAGGGATGTATTCATTCATTGAATAACTTACTCATTTATTCAATAGTTGCTGAATGCCATAAATTCCAGTTGAATGGACAAAACCTATGAATGAATGACCAGCACTATTCTAGGTACTGTGAATAAAATGAAGAATAAGGCAGAATCCTTACCCTAAGAAGCATACTAGTAGGGAGACTGAAAACAAGGATTGCAAAAAAGTGGATGGTTCTAGATAGCCTGGTAAGGAGTTTGGACATATGTGTTGGTTCTGCAAATTTTTCTAGTATGGGTGTTTACGATGGATCCAAATAGTAATAAAACCGGAGGCAGAGCTGCCCCTCAGGAGACTGATATCACAGTCAGCTGTGAGGTGATGAGATTACAATGTCTGTCCTCAGGAAAGAGGCAGATCTGAGAGACAATATAACTGCTCAAGGACCCCTGTGGGTTGGAGTCAGTAAGTCTCATGTGAATCTTCAGAAAAGCTTGGGTGTCCTGAAGGAATCAAGTCCTTCCTTTCCTCAGTGGGAAAACCTTGCCAGGATCTTGTGTCCTACCTAGTGACCATCGTCCCCAACATCTCCCCACCTCCGCTATTTTTTCCTTATTAACAGAATCTAAATCCAAATATTGTTCAAGTATTGGGCAGCTGTGTGCTTCAGGGGACTCTGGGATCCACCCTATCCAGTCACAAGGAGGGTAAATCTTGATAAGAACAGGCCAATCAGTAATTTCATGAATGTTGCCATTATCATTGGTTTAGGGAGCGGCAGGTGGCAGAATTCTGGCCTATGAAATGTGAGAGGAGGCTTACTGTGGGGCTTCTGAGAGACAACTTTTTTTTTAACTTGTGATAAAATACACATAATATAAAATTTACCATTTTTTTTTTGGTGGAGAGCAGTGGGAAAAATGGAGGAAAGTAGTCAAAAGTTACAAGCTTCTAGTTATAATAAAATAAGTCTAGGAATGTAATGTACAGCATGGTGACTATAGCTAATAACACTGTTTTGTATTTTTGAAAGCTGCTAAGAGTTGATCTTAAAAGCTCTTATCACTGGAAAAAAAATGGTAACTATTTATGGTGATGGAGTTAACTAGACTCAATGTGGTGATTATTATGTAAACATACATATATTGAACCATTATGTTTTACACCTGAAACTAATAGAATATTATATGTCAGTTATATCAATTTAAAAGTTTAACCATTTTTTACCATTTTAAGTGTACAGTTCTGTGACATTAAGAACACTTACACTGTTGTCCAAACATCACCACCACCCATCTCCAGAAGTTTTTCATCTTCCCCAGCTGAAACTCTGCCCCTGTTAAACACCAACTTCACACTCTCCCCTCTTCTTGGCCCCTGAAACCACCATTCTACTTTTCATCTCTATGATTTTGACTACTCTAGCTCCTTATATAAGGAGAATCATGTCCTCTTGTGACTGGGAGAAGAGTTTTTCTGATGATAAAAAGAAATACATGGAAGAAAATGCTGTCTTAACCCCTCAATATTGTTGGGTCTTCCTTCACGTGATGCCTGGGACTGCAGCATCCAAGCTATAACAGCCATGAGGGAAAGCAGCTTAGGGACTTCCTCAAAAATTAAAAATAGAGCTACTCCTGTATGATCCAGCAATCCCACTTCTGGATATACATATCCAAAGGAAATGAAAAGAGGGTGTCCATGAGAGACCTGCATGTCCATGATCACTGCAGTATTATTCACAATAGTCAAGCTATGGAAACAAGCTAAGTGTCCAAGAAAGGAAATCCTGATGTTTTCAACAACATGGATGGACCTTGAGGGCATTATGCTAAATGAAATGCCAGACAGAGAGGACAAGTACTGCACGGTATCATTTATATGTGGAATCTATTAATAAATAAAAAGCTAAACTCATAGAAACAGTAGAAAAGTGGTTGCCAGGGACTTGGAGTCAGGGGAAGAAAGAGACTGGGAAAAGGATAAAGTTAAATAAAAAAGAAGAAAGACTCTGTCACTGAATTAATCTCCCCTAGAACTGTTTCATTGCTAGTATGCTTATTATGAGGAGTAATGACTTTGCCTTATTGATTAAGCCTTTTATAGTTCAGACTTGGTCCTTAAGGAATTCAGCGAATGAAGGAGACTTTGTGTGTGTCGGGGGGGTGGGGGGTGCCCATCATACAGCGTTCAGGATCTTAGTTCTCTGAGCAAGGATTGAACCCAGGCCCCCTGCAGTGGAAGTGTGGCGTCCTAACCACCGGAAGTCAGGGATTTCCGTGAAGGAGAACTTATACATCAGATTTTTTGTGTGTGTGTGTGGAGGGGGGGGAGGTGCCCAGCATACAGCGTTCAGGATCTTGGTTCTCTGAGCAAGGATTGAACCCAGGCCCCCTGCAGTGGAAGTGTGGCGTCCTAACCACCGGAAGTCAGGGATTTCCGTGAAGGAGACCTTATACATCAGATTCTTCTTTGCTGGGGTTTCTTCAGAAGCACTTCATTTCTCTAGAGCTAACATTAGTTTTCTTATGGGTAGGCCTGTGGCTAGTATCTTGACAAGAAAATAAAACAGGGAAGGAAGAGAGGAATGGGTGGAAACTCTGACGTAACCTGGCATCTCTGTCCTCAGATCACTCAGAATAAGTTGTTGGGGAACCAACATCCAGGCCCTGGAAGAACATTTAAAACAGGGTAGAGGTCAAACGGTTCTGATGTGGGATCAGAGCCTGGCAATTCCACCCACAGTGCTGCTTCCTCCAGGATGCTGCCTGCCTATCCAGATGCAGTACTTGTCCCCTTCTCACACTTGCATTGACTCTTCTTGTCTGTGCACACCTAAACAGGACCTGCTGATCACTCCATCCTGGATCGCCTCTCTGGTATTTGGCCTATTGTCTGCCCAATATTTTGAATTTCCTGATCTCTTCTGCCAGGCTCACCTTCTGCACCCTCCTTGTCCCCTGTCATATTGGCTTTCAAACTTTTTTTTAGCTAGTGAACTTTATTTTTTACAGCAGTTTTAGGTTCACAGATAAAATTTATATATCCCTGCCCTCACACAGACTTAATCACACCTGCCCACCCCCACCCCCTGCCATGATAGACAACCTGTACCATAGTGTATATCTGTTATAAGGGATGAACCTACACTGACACCTCCTTATCACTCAAAGTCTCTAGTTTACATTAGGTTCACTCTAGGTGCTGTCCAGTCTGTGTGTGTGCCAAGTCGCTCAGTCGTGTCCGACTCTTTGCAACCCCATGGACTGTATCCTGCCAGACTCCTTTGTCCATGGAATTCTCCAGACAAGAGTACTGGAGTGAGTAGCCATTCCCTTCTCCAGGGGATATTCCAGACCCAGGGATCAAACCCAGGTCTCTTGCATTGCAGGCAGATTCTTTACAGTCTGAGGGAAACCCGCTGGTGGCTTGTCCAGTTTATAGTTTTTGACAAATACAGTATAGGTATTCACCATTGGGATGTCATACAGAATAGTTTCACTGTATGCTCTGCCTATTCTTCTCTCTCTTCCCACAAACCTCTGGCAGCCACTGATCTTTTCACTGTTTCCATAATTTTGCCTTTCCCAGAATATCATAGGGCTGGAATCATACAGTATGTAGTCTTTTCAGATTGACTTATTTTTACTTATGCATTTAAATTTTCTTCATGTCTTTTCATGGCTTGATAGCTCATTTCTTTTTAGCTCTGAACAGTATTCCACTGTCTGCATCACAGTTCTTTTATCCTTTCACCTTTGAAAGAATCTTGGATACTTCTAAGTTTTGGTCTCTATGAATAAAGCTGCTATAAATAATGTGCAGGTTTTTGTGTGGACATAGGTTTTCAGTTTATTTGAGTAAATACCAAGGATCTTGATTGCTGGATTACATTGTAAGAGTATGTTTAGTTTTGTAAGAGACAACCAAACTGTCTTCCAAAGTGGTTGTACTATTTTGTACTTCTACCAGCAATGCAATCAGGGTTCTCGTTGATCCACATTCTTGCCAGCATTTGGTGTTATCATTGTTTTGGATTTTGGCAATTCTAATAAGTGTATAGTGGTATATCATTATTTTACTTTGCAATTCCCTAATGACAAATGATGCTGAATATCTTTTCTTGTGCTTACTTGCCATCTTTGGTAAAATGTCTGTCCAAGGGTTTTGCCTTGTTAAAAGTCAGATTGTTTCCTTATTGTTGAGTTTTTAAAGTTCTTTGTATATTTTGAACAATAGTTCTTTATCAATTGTATCTTA